GATCCAGGAATTCCTATTCATTGCATTGTAACAGAACTCTCAACATAAACCTGGTTTTAAAACACCAGTGAACATTTTCAGAGATGTCCACTCCAGCATGGAGTCTTATCTGATGCAAGGACAGACGAGACAGCTGACCATGATGCTTAAATTCCTTATCTGTGGTCTTTAAAATTAATAAAAGCAACTCCTATGTAGAACATAGAATAATACAACCGACCACAATGCCATTCCAAACTAATTCCAAGTAAAAACCGAAAAAACTGCGGATGCTGTAAATCAGAAACAAAAACAGAAATTGCTGGAAAACTTCAACAGATCTGGCAGCATCTGTAGAGAGAAATCAGAGTTAACATTTCAGGTCAAGTGACCCTTTCTCAGAACCGTTCTGAGGAAGGGTCACTCGACCTGAAATGTTAACTCTGATTTCTCTTCATAGATACTGCCAGACCTGCTGAGCTTTTCCAGCAATTTCTGTTTTTGGTTCTTAACTAATCCCATCTGCCCGGACATGGTCCATATCTGTCTATTTCTTGCCTGTTCATGTGTCTGTCTAAATGCCTCTTAAACATTGCTATCTGCTTCTACCACCTCCCCCGGCAGCATGTTCCACCACCCGCTATCTAAAAAACTGGCCTCACACATCATGTTTAAACATCCCCCCTTGTAATTAAACCCATGCCCCCTAGTTTGTCCCATGTCTACCCTGGGGAAAAAGAGTCCAAATATGCACTGTATCCATGTCTCTCATAATCTTATATACTTCTATCAGTTTCTGCAGAACCCCCCCAACACCCCACCACTCCCACCACGCCCTCAGCCTCCAGTCCTCTAGTGAAAACAATCCAAGTCTGTCCAACCTCCCCTTATAGCTAATACACTGCAATCCAGATAACATCCTGGTGAACCTCTTCTGCATCCTCTCCAAAGCCTCCACCTCCTTCTTATAGTGTGACCACCAGAACTACACATAGTACTCCAAATGTGGCCTAACTAAAGTCTTATACAGCTGCAACATGACTTGTTAACTTTATACTCAATACCCCAACCAATCAAGGCAAGCATGCCATCTGCCTTCTTTGCCAACTTATCCACTTGTGTTGCCGCTTTCAAGGACCTATGGACTTGCACCGCAAGATCCCTCTGTATATCAATGGTCCTAAGGGTCCTGGCATTTACTATACACTTTTCTTTTGCATTTGACCTCCCAAAACTCAGCAGTTATCCAATCTGACCACATTTTCCTGCCATCACCTCATACTCTTCTCTAATTTTGCTACTCACTAAATTAATTCCATTTTAGACTGCTGGGATATGAGGCTGGGAATACCATTGGCACTGGAACAGCCTCAACATTGTTGGAAATGTGGCATAAACCTTGTTTACAAGGAAATTCTCAGCCACGATAATTTCAACACTGAAACAGTTTTCTTGGCCCTTAAGTCTACATTAATGTTTTTCACTAATGTGAGTCACCGAGTCTAATCCCATTCTGCTGGTCCCTCCCTGATACCAGTTAAAAATTCCTTTTTTTCCCAAACAATTCTCTTATTCCATTTTAGAAATATTTATGAGCTGCTTCAACAGTTTGCAACAGATAATACAAACATCTAACCAACCTCTTTGCAACACATACTTCAATTGCTTTTATGATTCCTTCAATTATTGTTTGCCGAAGTTGACCAGTGGGTTTTGACTTGTTGTTAGTCACATCATTGTGTTTTGTAGCACAGAAAGTCATTCAGCCCGTGTTATCTTTCTGGCTCACCAAAGAGCTTTCCAAAGTCTTAGTTCCCTTTTCCCCAAAGTCTTTAATAACAAGGAATGCATAAGGATAGTCAGCGAGGTTCTGTGCGAGGGAAATCGTGTCCCACAAAGTTAATTGAGTTTTTTGAGACGTAACCAAGAAGACTAATGAGGGCACAGCTGCAGACATTGTTTACTTGGACTTTAGTAAAGCCTTTGACAAGCTCCCACATGGTAGACTAATTAGTAAAGTTAGATCACAGGGTGAGCTTGCCAATTAGATACAAGATTGGCTGAACAGCAGGAGACAGTAATGGTGGAGGGTTCTTTGTCAGACTAGAAGCCTGTGACCAGTGGTCTTCCATAGGGATCGATGCTGGATCTACTTTTGTTTGTCATTTATATACATGTTTTTGATGAGAATATAGAAAACATGGTCTGTAAGTTTGCAGGTGACAACACGGTGGTACAGTCGACAGTGAAGAAGGTGATTTAAGATTACAAAAAGATCTCGATCAATTGGGTCAATGGGCTGAAGAATGGCAGATGGAGTTTAATTTGAATAAATGTGAGGTATTGCATTTTGGTAAAACAATAAAAGGCAAGACCTATGTAATTAAAAATACGGCCTTGGGTAGTGTTATAGAACAGAGAGACCTAGGGGTTCAGGTACATAATTCTTTGAAGTTTGTGTCACATGTAGACAGGGTGGTTAAGAAGACATTTAGCATGCTTGCCTTTATACTTTGAGTATAGGAGTTGGGATGTTATGTTCAGGTTGTACAGAATATTTGTGAGGTCTCATCTGGAGTACTGTGTCCAGTTCTGGTCTCCCTGTTATAGGAAGGCTATGATTAAGCTGGAGAGGGTTCAGGAGAGATGTACCAGGATGTTGCTGGGCGTGAAGGGTTTGAATAGTAAGGAGAGGCTAGTACTTGTTTCACTGCAGCAGAGGAGGCTGAGAGGTGACCTTATAGAGTCTTATAAAATCATGAGGGGTCATATTTTCCAGGTGAATGGCAGGTGTCTTTTCCCTAGCGCGGGGTTTTCAAGACTGGGGACATATTTTCAAGGTGAGAGGAGAAAGATTTAAAAAAGACAAGGGACAATTCGTTTACATAGAGAGTGGTTCATGTGTGGAATAAACTGCCAGAGGAAGTGTTGGACATTTAGATACGTATATGAATAAGAAATCTTCAGAAGGATATGGGCCAAGCACAGGCAGGTGGGACTAGTTTAGTTTGGGATTATAGTTGGTATAGACTGGTTGGACTGAAGGGTCTGTTTCCATGCTGTATGATTCTATTTATTTGCCATATTTTATCCCCTTTCAAAAAGCTGCCGTGGATTGTCTTTCTCCCAATGTTTCTGGTATGATATTCCATGTCTTAACAACTCTATCTGTAAACAGATTTCTCCTATCATTCTTTTAGTGGTGATGTCCCTCCAGTTACCAACTGACCAACCAGTGGAAACCTTTTTACCATTTACCAAAGTCCTTGAGTCCCTATCAGTGAATCATATTCCCCTTAACTCTTTTTCCAAACCAAAGAAGCATTAGTATCTCTAAATTGTCCTCATAGTTAAAGTCTCTTCTCTATCTTGTTCATCATTTCCTTCTGAAGAAATGCACCCAGAAAGAGACACAATAGGTCAATTTTCCAAGCAGATGAGGTCTAAACATGGACAGAAGCCTGGAGGAGTACCCCACCTGAACTCAGTCCCTGACACCCTGATTCTCTGGAACTGACTAAAATATCAGCAGGCTGACATCATGTTTTCAGTGGAATGATCTAATGAAACTTGAGTGGGAAAAAAATTAATCAATTAGAACGTTGACAGCAAGGTTCCAGTGCTTTGCAACTTCGCACAAATTGGGGCAGCATTTTGTGGTCTCCATTTCATTGATTGAAATTCCACACCAACCTCGAAATGATTTATGGAGATCATTGTACAAGATAATGTTCTGTGCAGAGGTGCAGGGAAATGGATACAATGCATTATAAGCTATCCTAAACTTTCTTCGAATCACTATGGAAATATAAACGTGGAGAGGTGTAAAACAAGTCTACAATTCTCACTCACCCTCACACCTTTTATGCAATTCACACAAAGAAAAGATTGGTCTCATTGAAAATGTTGTACATACAAGGTGAATTTTGAGTCCAGCTTATGTGATTGTTGGCATTAAATAAATTACAAACTATGCACAGTGAAAAGTCAAGTTCTACTGATTGAAAAAAAACATTCACTCTGCAGGAATGTTCCATTTCTGGAGATGGGAATGGTTTTGGTGTTTAGCATCCTGAAGAACTGAAAAGTTTGGAAATGATTGAAAGAATAGCTTGATATGATAAGTGGACAGATGAAAGGTGGACTGTGATAATCATTTCTGTTATTTTCCGTATTTTCCACTATCTGAACGATCAGCAAACTCCAACTGATTTATGTTGATAAATGTTTGGCAGAATTTTCAGTTTCATAAATTTCTATGTAAAACCACCTCCCCTTGTGAATTCACAATTTGTTCTCATTAACACCCATTTAACTAAAACTATTTCATAATTTGTGGTAATCATGTGCTTTGGACAGTGTCTACAGCAGCTGAATGTATCAATGATTTCCTAATATGCTCTTAACAGAGCAGAATTTCACAAAAATATTTATGATGCCATTCTGCATAATCCCTGGAGTGACCTGCACTCATATTTGGGAGTAACCGTTGTGAAGCCAGCAGTTTGATCACTTTGACCTGATTTAGGCTCATGGATCTGAGGCAGCTCAAGCCCTCATTGGTGCTGGAAAAGGTTTACAACATCTGGAATCTGTTTTTGTATGGCCGGTTCTAATGCCAGTGATTACAAGGTTCTAATCTTTGAGAGCCAAAAGGAGATGACAGTAACCCAGAGTTAAGTCATGTGGAATGAGCTCTCAGCTGGCTAAATTTCACAACTTTGAAACCAGCTCAGTCCCAGTTCTGATATTTCACCTCACTTGTTAATGTAAGCCCTGAGAAATTCCATAGGGCCAACCTGCTTTCTCACATCACAGGATCATAGCATAGCTAGAGCACAGGGGATCATTTAGCCCATCATTACAATGCTGGTCCTCTGCAGGAGCAACATACCTGCTACCACTTCCCTGCCTTCTCTTCATGGTCCTGCAATTCTTTCTCTTGCAACAAACTTTCAAAACAAACCTTTCCCTCCAACAAACTTTTCTGCTGCTCCTTTGTCTGCCTGTTCATTTATGTGTTAGTTGTGAATGGTTGACATAATAGGGTCCTCTCCTGCCCGGGTCTGGTCTCCATCAATTCTCCAAATGTCAGCAACTTCGGCCAGCTGCAGAGACGTGGCAGTGATATGTTCACCAGAATGTGCTCTGGACTCTAATTGAGCTAAAGTACTCATTGGGGTATCAGTATTGGCGTTGGTGGAGAGTGTAGGAGGCAGCCTTGCCAGTGTATTCTCTGAGAGGTCTGTCGTCTCTTCTTCAGAGCTGGAGGAGGAAATAGCTTGCAGGGCTGCGTGCTTGAGAGTGGAGTCTGTGCAGATGACACTAGAACCTGCAGGAGACAAAGAGAGAATGAATTGCAAAGCAGAGCTAAAGGTTTGGGCACGTTACAAATACACTCAGTGGCCATAATGGGAGAACAGCACAGCAATGGACAATTAATCTTCCTTGGTTGCCGAGACATGGAGGAATTAGCATTGTCCCCATGAGAGGTCAAGGGAAGAATTTTTTTCTTCATTTCTGAGATGTGGGCATTACTGGCTGGCCAGCATTTCTTGCCCATCCCTAGTTGGCCTTGAGAAGATGGTAGTGAGGTGCTTTCTTGAACCTTCAGTTGACCTGCTGTGGGTTGATCCACAATGCCCTTGGGGAGGGAATTCCAGAATTTTGACCCAACAACAAGAGGGAACATGATATATTTCCAAGTCAGGATAGTGAATGACTTGGAAGGGAACATGATGTTGGTGGTGTTCCCGTGTATTTACTGCCCTTGCCCTTCTAGATGGAAGTGGTCATGGGTTTGGAAGGTGCTGTCTGAGGATTTTTGGTGAATTTCTGCAGTGCATCTTGTAGACAGTACACACTGCTGCTGCTGAGCGTCAGTGGTGAAGGGAGTAGATGCTTGTGGATGTAGTGCCAGTCAAGCAGACTGCTTTGTCCTGGAAGGTATCAAGTTTCTGGAATATTGTTGGAGCTGCACTCATCCAGGCAAGTGAGGAGTATTCCATCACAGTCCTGACTTGTGCCCTGCAGATGGTGGACAGGCTTTGGGAAGTTAATCGCTGCAGTATTCCTAGCCTCTGACCTACTCTTGTAGCCACTGTACTTATATAGCAAGTCCAGTTGAGTTTCTGGTCAATGATTACCCAGAGGATGTTGACAGTGGAGGATCCAGTGATGGTAAAACCATTGAATGTCAAGGGACGATGGTTAGATTTAATCTTACTGGTGATGGTCATAGCCTTGCACTTGCATGGTATGAAGGTTACTTACCACTTGTCAGCCCAGAACGGTCCCGAACCAAAACGTCAACTTTCTTGCTTCTCTAATGCTGCCTGGCCTGCTGTGTTCCTCCAGCTCCACACTGTGTTATCTCTGACTCCAGCATTGGCAGTTCTTACTACCTCTGGATATTGTCCAGATCTTATGGCATTTGAACATGGATAACTTTAGTATCTGCGGAGTCACAAATGGTGCTGAACATTGTGCAATTGTCAGAGAACATTTCCCACTTTTGACCTCATGATGGAGGGAAGGTCATTGATGAAGCAGCTGACAATGATTGGGCCTGGGACACTATCCTGAGGAACTCCTGCAGAGATGTCCTGGAGCTGAGGTGGCTGACCTCCAGCAAGCATGACCATCTTCATATGTACCAGGTCAGCTTCAACTGCTGGAGAGTTTTCCTCCTGATACCCAATTATTGCAGTTTGACTGGGGCCTTGATGCCACACATGGTCGAGTGCAGGCTTGATGTCAAGGGCTGTCACTTTCACCTCACCTCTGGAATTCAACTTTTTTGTCCATGTTTGAATCAAGACTGTAATGAGGTCAGTTGCTGCGTGGCCCTGGTGGAACCCAAACTGGGCGTCACTGAGCAGGTTATTGCTGAGCAGGTGCTGCTTGATAGCGCTGTTGATGACACCTTCCATCACTTTACTGAGGATCGAGAGTAGACTGATGGGGCGGTAATTGGCCGGGTTGGATTTGGCCTGCTTTTTATGTACAGGACATACCTGGGCAATTTCCCTTATTGTCGGGTAGATACCTGTGTTGTAACTGTACTGGAACTGTACTGGCTAGGGTAGCAGCAAGTTCTGGAGCACAAATCTTCATTACTATTGCCAGAAGGTTGTAAGGGCCTGTAGCCTTTGCAGTATCTAGTGTCTCCAACCATTGATATTACATGGAGTGAATCAAATTGGCTGAAGACTGGTATCTGTAAGCTGTGGACCACTGGAGGAGGCCGAGATGGATCATCCACTCGGCACTTCTGCCTGAAGACTGTGAATGCTTCAGCTTTATCGTTCGCTGGGCTCTTCCATCATTGAGGATGGGGATATTTGTGGAGCCTCCTCCTCCAGTGAGTTGTTTAATTGTCCACCACCATTCACGACTGGATGTGGCAGGACTACAGAGCTTAGATGTGATCTGTTGATTGTGGGATCCCTTAGCTCTGTCTATCACTTGCTGCTTATGCTATTTGGCGTGCAAGTAGTCCTGTTTGGTGGCTTCACCAAGTTGACACCTTATTTTCAGGTATGCCTGGTACTGCTCCTGGCTTGCCCTCCTGCACTCTCCATTGAACCAGGGTTGATCCCCTGGCTTGATGGTAATGGTTGAGTGGGGCATATGCCAGGCTATGAGGTTACAGATTGTGCTGGAGTACAATTCTGCTTTGCTGATGGCCCACAGCACCCCATAGATGCCCAGTCTTGAGTTGCTAGATCTCTTTGAAGACTGTCCCATTTAGCACGGTGATAGTGCCACACAACAGAATGGAGGTTATTCTCAACGTGAAGGCAGGACTTTGTCTCCACAAGAACTGTGCAACGGTCACTCTTACCGATACTGTCATGGACAGATGCATCTGCAGCTGGCAGATTGGTAAGGATGAGGTCAAGTATGTTTTTCGCTCTTATTGGTTCCCTCACCACCTGCTGCAGACCCAGTCTAGCAGTTATAACCATTAGGACCCGACCGGCTCAATCAGTAGTGCTGCTGTCGAGCCACTCTTGGTGGTGGACATGGAAATCTCCCACCCAGAGTACGTTTTGTGCCCTTACCATCCTCAGTGCTTCCCTTAAGTGTGGTTCAATGTGGAGGAGTACTGATTCATTAGCCAAGGAAGGACCGTATACGGTTATGAGCAGGAGATTTTCTTGCCCATGTTTAACCTGAAGCCATGAGACTTCATGAGATCCAAAGTCAATGTTGAGGACTCCCAGGACAACTCCGTCCTGGTTGTATACCACTACACTGCCACCTCTGCTGGGTCTGTCCTAGTTGTTGGACAGGACATATCCAAGGATGGCGATGGTGGTGTCTGGGACATGGAATCATACCTTAGAGACAATAACTATGACTATATCAGGCTGTTGGTTGACTAGTCTGTGAGACAGCTGTCCCAACTTTAGCACTAGACCCCACATGTTATTAAGCAGGACTTTGCAGGGTTGACAGGGTAGTTTCTGTCATTGTCTTTTCCGGTGCCTAGGTCAATGCTGAGTGATGTGACAGACTTCATTTCTTTGAGACCTTGTAGCCATTAGTACATTGGGCCATTTCAGAGGGCACTTTAGAATCAACCACAGTGCTATGGGTCTGGAGTCACATTTAGGCCAGACCAGGTAAAGGTGGCAGACTTCCTTCCCTGAAGGACATTAGTGAACTCGATAGGTTTTTCCAACAATTGACAATGGTTTCATAGTCATCAGTAGATTCTTAATTCCAGATACTTTAAAATTGAATTCAAATTCCACCAGCTGCCGTGGTGGGATTCAAATCCAGGTCCCCACAACATTAGCTGAATTGCTGCATTAATAGTCTAGTAATAATACCACTAGGCCATCGCCTTCCCCCATTGAGTGAGATGAAAATAGTTGGCACGGCTGCTAGCGCAAGTGCAAGGAGGGGAAATGTTGGTGAGGTGGCCCGAGTGAGTGAGCAGCCTGCACAGATGACTCATCAGCAAAGTGATGGAAGGTGTCACTAACAGTGCTATCAAGCAGCACCTGCTCAGCAATAACCTGCTCAGTGATGCCCAGTTTGGGTTCCACCAGGGCTATTCAGCTCCTAAACTTATTACAGCTTGGTTTAAAGTTGGGCAAAAGAGTTGAATGCCAGAGTTGAGGAGAAAGTGACAGTCCTTGGCATCAAGGCTGCATTTGACTAAGTGTGGCATCAAGGAGCCCAAGCAAAACTGGAATCAATAGGTAACGGAGTGGGGGGGGAGCAGACTCTCTGCTGGTTGGAGTAATATTGTAGCATAGGAAGATGGTTGTGGTTGTTGGAGGTCAGTCATCTCAGCTTCATGACATTCAGAGGTTCCTAGATTTGTGTCTTTAATCCAACTATCTACAGCTGCTTCAATGACCTTCCCTCCATTGTAAAGTCAGAAACGGGTTTGGTTGCTGATGATTGCAACATGTTCAGCATTATTTGTGGTTCCTCAGATACTGAAGCAGTCCATGTCCAAACGCAGCAAGACCTGGGCAATATCCAGGTTTGGACTGACAAATGGCAAGTAGCATTTGTGCCAAACAACCACCACCTCCATGTTCCCTTCCAAGCCACTCACAATCCTGAGTTGGAAATATATTGTCCTTCCTTCAGTGTCACTGCATCAAAGTCCTGGAATTCCCTCCCTAACAGCATTGTAGGTTTACCTACTGCACATGGACTGTACCGATTCTAGTAGGCAGCTCACCACCACCTTCTGAAGGGCAACATAGGATGGGGAAATAAATGGTGGCCCAGCCAGTAATGCAGTGATGCCCATACCCTGTGAATGAATTAAGAAAAGTGCAGGGAAAAAGCTGCATACAATATTGAGTGGTAGACCAAGTGTTAGTGGGAGATACGTGCAGCAGCAGATGTAATATCAGTGTGAGGTAGCAGAGAAAGGATGTCACACTTAGCTCCATGGAGTGGAGAAGGCCATTGACCTTCTTGTAGTACTGCTGGACATTCCTCTGGATCATGGACACTTTGGGCAAGGTTGACATGGTTTGGTGTTGTGGTCTCCTCTGATAGTCCTGACGAAATAGGATGGCCATCATCTGTACTATCCAGTCTACCAGGGCACCCGGGTCCCTGTTCATGAAGCAATTTGCCTCTTACATCCCCCTCCAGGACCATTCTTGAAAAACACAAACCACACAGGGCACCTCCTGACTGGCAGAGATTGACCTGCTGCATAACTGTGTTGTTAAAATGGTTCTGGCTTCAGGAATCATGGGAGGTCCTGGAAGTGGCGAGTATTTCTATTGCCGGGGAGTTGAAGACAGCATGAGTAGGGCACTGTAGAAGCATGGTGCAATGCTAATGAGG